AGTCATTTTTTTCCTCAATAAACTATGAGCAATGTTATGTAGACTTAAAAATTAGACTTGATAATCTCGATCATTGATTTCATTATGGGTCCCAACATTTATTGGGACCCAGTACCTATTCAATGGTTGAGAATATCAAATCTAATTTTTAAGTCTAATTTTGTCAATAGTTTGTCGAGGCTTGATATAATAGTTCTTGATTCCGACATCAACTCTGTTTTTTTTTTTTCTAAATTGTTGTTTGTAATACATTAATTGGATGCCATTTGATTTGACTAAGTTTTAATACGAGTGTTGTATCTTACTAATGAAACATCATATTGGTTTCCCCATCATTGGTCTAGATTTTCTGTGTCTTGGTTAAACAAAGATTAGATCTAAATCTAAGTCCCCTTAATTGCAGCCACCAGCCTCACGTGGGAATCTTAATCGAAAAGAGTTATTCGAATTCGACTTCTCATGTTTTAAACAAGTTAAAATTAAATAATTTTTTAAAATCATTTAAAAAATGAATCTTAAAGATTTGATTCAAATTCATAAAATTCAGCTCGTTTATATGTAAAATAATCCAACTATTCGAGTTCAGCTCCTATCGAGTTCTAAACTTATCAAACTTGAAACATATTGAAAACAAAAACTCTTCATATTACAAATTTCTCACAAATTAAATTTTGACCCCGCAATTTTTCGAAAATCACCACTCCGGGGCACATTAGTGTCTCTTTGCCGGGAAACAATCCAACGTGTCCAGTGAGTAACTACTGACACGTGCAAAATTTAAGAGCATCCACGTGGCACTCCCTCGGATACCTTTTCCATGGTTCTAAAAAAGGCAACTGCCACATAGTAACTCCCCTCGAATGCCTTTTTTCGGGCTCTAAAGAGTAGAGTCCGGGTGGATCTCAGGAGTCTGGAGGAGTAGTTGCCGAAGGAAATTCTTCAGCTACATCATCAGCCAGACACAACACAAACCACCAAAAATGGTGGCGCGTGTACTGTACTATGCTAATGATTAATAAGCTTGACAACTATGCCGATTAAAACGATTTTGTGTTAGATAAAATAAATTTATATTAAAAAACTTTTTATTCATACCCGCGTTTATTTATATAAATATGTCAAATTATCACGCTCATTCTCCTCATTTATTAGACGAGTTATTCAGCATAACCTTTGTGTTACCTGTTAAATAAAAGAATTGATTAAAAAAATTTGAGTCCACACAAAAAATATCAACTCGCCACATATTACGTATGTTTAACTTGTTTATTAGAACAATAAATTATGGCTGAGCAAAAAAGTTTGTGTAAAACAATGAATGTGAAAGAAATCACCGTTCTTGATGTGAGACTAAGCCTGTCAAAATTCGACACGCATGAATTGACAGGAATTAAACGGGTTTGAGTGGTAAATAAGTTGACATGTTAGACACGTTTAATAAACGGATCGTGTTCGGGTGGAATATGTCAAACCATTTATTATACGTTTATCTATTTAAATAAAATTAATATAATAATATATTAATAATTATTTTAAAAAATTAGCTAGAAAAAAAGAAAATAAATTAATAAATAAAATAGTAGTTCAAAAACAAATGAGGGAGGGAAGATGGGAGCAGTTCACGACAAAGACAAACCAAACTTTTTTGTTTTTGTTCCACATCAGCAAATGAGGAAAGATGGAGAGGGTTGTCTTGCCTATACAAAACAGTGGTCTCTTGTTTTTTTTTTAGCCTTTTAAATCTGATTTTTAAGTAAATTTTTGCTAGAAATTCCTCTTTTTCGAAATAAATGCAATTGACAGTGAAAAAGTGGTATATTAAAATTTATTGATATATTTTTTTAAAAAAATTAAACGGGTTCGTATTACTATTTATTAAACGGGTCGTGTTTGTGTTGAGATTTTTCACCTATTTATTAAACTTGTCGTGCACGATTTTACATATTTTTCATCCGTTACCTGTTTAATCCGACACGTTTGACACCCCTTTGTGAAATAGAGGCTAAGAGACTTATTATTATTTATTTATTTTCTTTTGAGAATTTATAGTTTCACTATTAATAGGTTAAAATGGGTTTATGAGTTAAGCATAAATCGATTCGTTTATTTCGTGGGTCTACAAAGTTAACTCATTAATCATCTAAACTCATTAAAACTAAACTCAAATCTATTAAATCCATGTCGATTAAGTTCACGAGGTATTATTTTTCGTTATCCATTCATAAGAGCAGCAACGTGAACAGTTTTGTTCCATCTCAAGTTAGAAATTTCGACTGCACTTATTATAAATTTTACAATTAGAACCCATCAAAATAACCCACCAAAAAAAATTTCAACACTACATGCCAAGAACATAACTTGTATATCATACTGGACGAATAAGAATCAGAAACCGCTCTTTAACAAGTTCCAACTCCAGTGCAGAGTGTAGGCATAAAATTCATTTTTCAATCTAAACCAAATTTCTACTTCAAGATTTAGAATAAACCTACACATACAAACGGGCAGCACATAATTCCATACTCTTAAATAGACAATTTTACAAACCTCATACACCATACTATTCTTAAACACACACATAATGACACTGAGGGCACATACAAACACAAAAACTGTTTTAACTCAAAAAAAAAAATGTTTCATGTATTGTGTCACACACAGGCATAAACCTAAGGGTATGATTTCATGTACTGTGTCACCGTCTCAGCAAGAAATTGTATTGTTGGCTTGGCATCCATAACTCAAAGGATCATTTGTCATGCTTTCACGTTACTTTCCATCCCTAATGTCAGAGAAATTAAGAAGCAAGAGTAGTACCATCACGAAATCAAATCCGAAAATTGCTCGGTCTTTTTATCCCACTGTCAAGAAGTAAGAAGTTCCCCAATTTAGTGTATAGAATTCCAAAAACGGTTGTTAGAAACTCCATACAATTTTAGCCAAGTCATTATGTATAGATAATAGCATCATTAAGAGAATGATTAAGACTCTAAAATAATTACAATTTAATTATTCAAAATAAAAATCACGCTCTTACAGAAGATGTATAGAATAGGTAAAATAAAATCTTATTACAGTGATGCTTTATATTTAGAGCATCACTATAGTATTATATATAAATAGTTTATAATATATTCTCTTTTCCCCTGATCTTTTTTAACTCTCTTATTCATTATTTGACTTTTTTCTCCATTCTTTTTCTCTCTCTCTCCAATATTTCGAACAAAGGAACAAAATATAATAAACAATATTTAAAAGTAGTAATTAAAGTATAAAAAATTGTCCGAGTGTGTATTAAAAAAATGAGTAACTAAATTAGAAAAAAGTATATTTTTGGATAGTTAAAAAAAAGGGTTAATTACAAATTATACCCTGAAAAATCGTTTGAATCTCAATTTGTACCATCAAATATCAAAAATCTCAATTTGTACATTCAAAGATAAAAATTTGTATCAATGTGCACCCCCAAAAATAAAAAATCTCAATTTGCGCCCTTAAAGACAGAAATTTGTATTAATATGCACCTAAAACTAAATTGATAAATTATACCTGGATCCCCTCATACTTGTCACTTAATCATTTGAACCCTTCACATTTAGAATATTACTCTTATATCTCATGATGTTTGTGCACGTATAACACGTAACTCATTTTCGTTGATATCTGTTAATATAACCATTAAAAAATATGATTTTATCTTAATAAAAAATTATAATTCCATATTACCCTTTATTTTATGGGTTTAATATATTCTAAAGTTTATGGGTTCAATATAATATAACTTTAGAGTATATCGAACCCACAAAATAAAGGGTAATACGAAATTATAATTTTTTATTAAGATAAAATCATATTTTCTAACAGTTTTATTAACAGATATTAATGAAGAGAAGTTATGTGTTATATATGCACAAATATCACGAGATGTAGGAGTATTATTTTAAATGTCAAGGGGTCTAAATGATTAAGTGACAAGCATAAGGGGATCCAGGTATAATTTATTAATTTAGTTTTAGGTGCACATTGATACAAATTTTTATCTTTGAGGGTGTAAATTAAAATTTTTGATCTTTGGAGGTGAACATTAATATAAATTTATATCTTGAGGGTATAAATTAAGATTTGAACTATTTTTTGGGGTACAACTTACAATTCACCCAAATAAAAAACCTTGTTAGAAATGCCTCGGATAAACACACATCCACCCACACACACAAATACAAATGGAGACACATGCACACAGATTTAACTCAGATCTACATACACACGCACATAATATATCGGATCTATGCATAAATTTAGATAGATTGAAGTATATGTATACAACAAAGATGAAAATTAACATGAATGACAGATAATATATGGAAGCCCTTTAGAGTTTTAAGATGAAAGTCTTCATAGAGAGACAACATAGAGACAAAAGAGAAGGAGAAAGAGTTTTTATATTTCAACGAAAAACTTCGATTTTTTGTGTTAAGAATTCATTAATTTCCCCCAAGTTGTATGCGTTGTTTCCGGTTTTTGTTGTTTTTAAAAACATTTTTTTGGTTTATAATTTCGGGCCTTGTTTTAAAAAAAAAAACGTATCAAAAAAATAATCCCAAACAAGTTATTATTATTATTTTGTAAAAAGTTAAAATAAAAAAAAAAACAAAACATAAACTGTACCAAACGCCCGCGCGAATAAACCATAAAATTGTAAATTCAATGCTAGGTCACGTCCTTTTAAGAGCGTGGAACCACACGTACCAGCGAGGGGGAGTGACAGTCCAGTCTAATAATAATTGAACCAGCGATCCTGTTTCTGTTCCTATTACTGGGGACTGTCCTGACATTTTGCCATTCTGGATGTGCGGTACGACATCGTCCCATCTCACTTTTAATAAATACGACGCCGTAACATTTTAAAACTAATTTCCAAAACACGACAAACCATGAACTTCCAAGGTACCACTGTAATGAATTATGAAAAGAAGAGAGACGTTGACCGTACAAATCTACAACTACATGAAGACATGTAAAAATACATCGTTTTCGAGAGCAATCCCTGAGGACCCATACTCTCTCGCTCCACTCTCCTCCCACTTCCTCACACACACACACACACTTGGAGGTCTGTAATGGCTGAATCTGGTTTGCAACGATGAAGATAACCGGTGGCAAAGCAGACCTTCAGGCAATTGTGTCTGCAAAAGCTCTAAACCCTTCACCAGATTCAGATCTTATAAAAAAATATAGTTCTCGTAAACCACCTCGCCGGAAGACTAAGAGCCCCAGATTTTCCGGCTCCGGAGCCCGGTTGAACAGAGACTTTGGAGCTCCGACGGGTAGACGGAGCAGACCCGAAACTCCTTTGCTTCGTTGGAAGTTCGATGAAAGGAGACAGAGAGATGTGGATGCTAAGGAGGAAAATTTGTCGCCGGAGATGTGTCGGAAAAGTGGGCGGAAAGCCGATATTGCGGTCTCGGCAAGGAAGCTCGCCGCCGGACTATGGCGGTTGCAGTTGCCGGAGGTTCCGAACAATGGCGCTGGTCAAGGATTAGGGCTTTCTCAGGTAGAGTTTATCATTCAAGATTTGTACTTTGTACTTTCTAGGGTTTTTTTTTGGGTTGATTTACGTAAATTGAAGGGTGTGAGTAAATATATGTGATCTTGTGAAGTAATGGACATATGATGTGGTTTCTTTTCATTTAATTTGGGCTGAATAATTATTGGCATTCGCCTTACTTGTTCAGTAAGATTAGTAAGAGCAATAGTGACTGACGCATTGCTCAGGCTTGTGCTGGTAAAAGATTCACTGAGACGGTTTAATAGCAACACTTTGAATCCACATTCAAGTCAAACTGTGTTGGTCCCCTGGATGGTCACAGTTCATCCATGAATCTTCCACTTTCCTTTGTTTTTTTTTTATTGGAAAGAAAAGAGTGTCATCCTTTTCATTCATTTGGACAATTGATGTGTTAATTTCATTAAATTTTCTTGCCATACATGTACTATTTATGAAGATTGAGGTTGCTTTGTTACTTGTTGATGGGTTTTATTGTTTTCTCATAGTTCTTGAATTAGTATTTCAATTATTGAAATTCTAGGATGTTATGATGTTAGCTCATGGTTTTGCTTCTATGCAGTGTGGAGTCAGTCACTTTGGTGTCCCTGTTCATGGTCATCACAGCAGTAAAGCGCAGGGTTCTGAGGTGAATGATTCAATACAGAGTCCTCATTCCATCACTGGGCCAAGAAATGGTTCGTTGTGTAAGGTACAAATCTTTCTTGATTTTATAAATTAATATAGCTATTTGAGATTGGTTAAAGTGGGAAAATACTGTAGTTAAGACTTAAGACCGCATTGGAACTAGAGGGTACTTACCCCTATTAATTTTGGAACATGGTCCGCTACTGGGGTCCTGAATGTTAGATCCACCATTTGCCTATGCTTCGTTTAGGTGATTAGGTAACTTCCTTTCCCATGCTTGATCTTGTTTAGTCATAGTGGTTGTTTGATTCATCAACTTATTACAACACCGAAGATGGTCTCTGGATGTTGAATTGTTACCTAAAAGCATGGAGAGTGACATAACTTCCTCTTTCTAATTAGGACTGCATTCATTTAACAAAAATCATTTCTTCCTTTTATTTTTTCTCAGTTTTTTTTAGCTCTTCTGATCTTGGTCCTACTTTCATACTTGTAGCTTGAACCTTCATATCAATTTTCAAACTCTGGACTGGAGGGGGCAACAAAATGGGATCCCATGTGCTGGAAAGCATCAAATGAAGCAGAACAGATATATGGCCACCCAAAGGTTCTTGACCAACAAGCGAGTGCAGTCTCAGTGGTGTCCAGACTTGAGGTAGAGCTTGAGCAGGCTCGAGCCCGTATTCATGATCTTGAAAATGAACGGCGGACATCAAAGAAGAAACTCGAGCAATTCTTGAAAAAACTCAGTGAGGAAAGGGCCACATGGAGGAGCAGAGAACATGAGAAAATCCGTGCAATTATTGATGACACCAAAGCTGACTTGAACAGAGAGAGGAAAAATCGCCAACGGATGGAAATGGTTAATTCCAAGTTGGTCAATGAATTGGCTGATACCAAGTTATCTGTGAAGCGCCATATGCAGGACAATGAAAAAGAGAGGAAGGCCAGAGAGTTGTTAGAGGAAGTGTGTGATGAGCTTGCAAGGGAAATTGGGGAGGACAAGGCTGAAGTTGAAGCGCTGAAGAGGGAATCCATGAAACTCGGGAGGAAGTGGAAGATGAGAGAAAGATGTTGCAGATGGCTGAGGTCTGGCGTGAAGAACGGGTTCAGATGAAGCTAGTTGATGCAAAGGTCACACTTGAAGAGAAGTATAGTCAGATGAACAGGCTGGTATCAGAGCTGGAGACTTTTCTAAGTTCAAGAGGAGCAACCCCAGATGCAGAGGACATGAGGAAA